AAAGATCCACAAAGCGATGCAGCCTCCAAGGCAGTGCCAAGTGAGTCCAAAACCACATTGATGCAATGTGCATGAAGGGTAGAGAGGTGGCCTGTCAGTTGGGACAAACCAAACTCTGCAGAATAGTGGAGTGAGATAGCTTTGAGTTGCTCTGGACCCATCAAACTGAATCGACGTGGGTCACGTAGCTGGACCCATCTTGCAAGATATGGTTTGTCTACATCAAAAAGACCTTCCATTGCATCCTTGATCTCCAGCGGCTCATCCTCAAAGCGGGCATGGGCATTCCAATGCTTAGTAGCATAGGTGACCAGGGGGAGGTTTCTGGCACGTTCGTTGATGCAGCCATTGAATTGGAGAAGACTGAGGCAAGTGTGTGCAAGGCGCGTATGTGCAGACCCCAGAATGACATGAAAATGGGCCACATTTCTTTTCGAGTTAATTTGAAACCGCTCCGAGGTTATAAATTCTTGCACAGAAAAGTGCGCAAACTGTACAACTCGGGCGAGCCCATGCTCACCAGAAAATTGAGACAAGTTAACTGTGGCAATGACAATCATAGTGGAGCAAGTAGATAGCAAAGCTTCCTCAGGGTCTGCCTCGCGACAGTCTTCTTCAAATTTGGGTGCCACCCCTGCTTCAAATTTGAATGCAAGGATATCCACGAGCTCTTCAACCCGGAATGGGCGAACTGAAACTGCCAGAAATTGGAATAACCGTTGCGCATATTCTCGCCTCCACTCCGGGATCCCCTCCAGAATATGCTCGTACGTCTCGTCGAGCGTACTTGGTAGCGACGTTAGAGTCGATCGGATATCCCTTCGGAGACACGTCCGCAGCATTTCTAGCTGGCAATGCACCCATCGAAACCTGCAACGCATGAACAACCATCATGCAGCCCAATTTTCATGTGGTGACTTACATCCCATCGGCCCTCTTTGTCAGCGTATCAATTGCGAGTTTTCTATCCTCAGCTGTCCATTTCTGCATATTTGGTTCGGAGTTGACCACAGAACAAATATAGTCCTCGATATCCTGTATTTGTCCTTCCTGTGAGTGGAGGGACATGTTGTGAGGTTTTAAAGGCTGAAAAACAGAGCGAATGTCTGCTTCCGAACGACTCGTAGCGCAGATCCGCACGCTTGGGTAGCCACAGTCGACGAGTTCCTTTAAAAACTTTAAGACCTTGTCACGGGGGGATGGCAAGCCAGAGGCCGGACATTCGTCCAAGGCGTCCAAAAAAATGTACACCACGCCTTGAGTCCGTAGTGCGAGCATCTTCTTCAAACATTCTACGAGTATGGCATCACTGGGCTGCCGCCCACCGTTATCATATTCCTTGTGCAAGTCAGAGAGGATCCCACGGTATTCGCTCGATTGTGTGGAAAGTTGGACCAAAACTGAGGAGAGTAGGCTGCGCAAGTTCTGCTTTGTATCCGATCGAAAATCAAAATAGAAGTATGCCACGGAGGCTAATTCGATCCCACGCAGACGCTGTACGTCCTCGATAATCGTAGAGCTGATGTACAATATGAGCGTTCATACAGACCAGAATGAAGAACCACATACCAAAGGATGCTCTTTCCCGAACCTGCTATGTAAACAAGGGATTAGCACTATACATAGAGACAAGAAAACGCTTACGTTTTCCATGTATCCACATTAACGAGCCGCTCGCTCTCCATTCCTCGTAATCATGGCCTTGTATGAACCATGATGCCGTTTTCTTGTGATGAGCATCACACGCGAGATTGTGGTTTACCGATGGGTCAGGCGGAGACAGCCATGTTCGAACGTCCTTTTGAGACTGGCCACCTGAAAGGGAATCTCAGAAATGAATAAGAGATGTAGAGAAGAGACGACAAACGTTTTGTCTCATCTGCCAGCTGCCCGATCTTCCGTTCTATGCCACCTATTACCCGCGGTTGCAGTCACCTCTATAAATTTAAACGTGCTGGACATGCATACCGAGAGCCTCCTGGATCCCGTCCATCGATGGACTGCGACCTTGTCAAAGAAATCATCAGATCAGGATAGAGACCTACTGAACTTGGGAGAGAGATTTCCTCACCACCCATCACCGTCTTCATATAAATCATCAGATCGTGAGTAATCTTCAAAATCTGAGTGCCCGTCATCTGAGCCTCCTCCCGTGTGAGTTTGTCCAGCTTCTGCACCGCGTCGAGGACTCCTCTGTCTCCCAGTAGCAACTTGACATATGTTCCTACGCCACCTTGAGACGTGTCCGACACATCAGTGGTGATCCACTTACTGAGACGGCTTTCCTTAAGTTGATTTGTCGCGAGGGCGAGAATAGAAAGCAACTCAGTCATCGTCTTTACGATGATCCTGGTCATCTCTGGATTGGGTGGGATGGCAGTGTAGATCTTGAGGCGATCAAGGAAGTTCCTGATCGATCCAAATAGGTCGACGAGAGCATCGTCAGTTGCAGCAATGTCTTTTGCCGCCTAACAAACACAGACGTCAACAGGGTAAGGACGCGAAGGAGGGACGGGAGATACACACAGATAGGAGGACTCCAATGCCGCAAAAAATTGCTTTGGCGGGTGGAAACGGCTGTAAAATCGACGTCAAAGAATACCCATACAGGAAGATCTGACACTCTTTGACTTACCAGGCCAGCAGCTTCACCGACTGTTCCGCTGATAGAGAGTACCACGTTCACAATAGGACTGATAATTTTCATAAGGTTTCCTCTGTGAGTAGCGTCCCCGGAGTCATCTAATGCTTCCGATAACACGCCGATAACGGCTTCGAGTGTATCATCTTCCTTGATCCTTGCGGAGAGTGGATGGCCGGGAAGATCTATATTCGTTTGTTTGGCATAGTCTTTCAATGCGGCGTTGATGAGTGCGGAGAGGTCGGATGGAGGTGGATCCGAAGGGTGAGACGAGGTAGCGGGAACTTGGTCATTAACTTGATGGGGTGGATTTTCCTGCTGCTGAGACAAAGAAATTGATGTAGTTAGAGCCGAGTTGTTTGCTCGGGAGGGTGGACGTGAAGGCAGAGACGAGCGACTCGGAGGGGCCTCGTTCACGATGGAGGGTGGATTGAGCGATATGATCGGAGTGGAAACGCTCGGTTGGGGATGGTGTCCGAGAAACCGAGGTCGTTTACAAAGGCCACAGAACGGCATTTTCAGTGCAGTTAAAAGACGAGTATGCAGACTACGAGTCCCTCTCACTTGAAGCCTCATGGCCTGGCCGACGCACGAGCCACACTGCTTAATAAGCCACCTAAAAGCGTCATGCTGTTAGGACAGACTTTTCCGTCGAAGGGCATATCTGTATCTAGTTGAGAGGAGAGTATTCCAGGTTATAGTTGTGTTCACAAGAACGTTTGGCATCCGTGGTGCAGTGTATCCTTGCGAACTTGGCACACCGAGCATCACCATACGGCCATACTGGTGGGAGGTAAAAGATAATTCTATATTGTACAGTACTGTACATAGGCATGGACACAGTGTACACTATGCTATCTTTACCAACTGTTCCATATGACGCGTCAGCAAAGGCTCAAGACGATTGAGGTGTACGCACCTTGGCATACAACGAGTCCACGACCTTGCTTACTTCTTCGAGTGTCTCGATCGCAGCACCGTATGTGTCCTACCAAGACGACATGAGACCCCGATCGGGAATGTGTTTGCTTCGTAAACATACGTCTGTTTCGGCCTCGTCAAATACCACTAGGCATCCGCGTCCTTGGACTAATACCCCGTGGAAGACTTTATCCAAAATCATCTGAGACAGTCCACTCCGGGAATCAAAGCCAGCATGTACAAGGCGGGCGCGAGAGGGAAGGAGCACGTTGCTTCAACGTCTTGCCGTCCTTGTCTCACCTGCTGCGCAACGTATTCAATCTCAACGACAGAATACGGCTCGACAATGCGTAACAGGTTCTACTCGAGTAGCGTATCGTATAGCGCAAGCGAGGTGCGAACGGATCGTCGGGTCCGACGAAAGTTCCTCGCGGTAGTCGCACAACGTCTGCTCAAACGCTACGCGGCTGCAGTGGTGGGCTCGCGCGACGGCCCGCATGCATTCGACATCGCGAAGCTGCACGTATTTGAGAGCGAGCTTGATTGACAAAAGCGCATTTACGTCCTCCGGCTGACACAACGGATGTCAATATCAACAGTACAGGTAATTAGAGACATAGTAAGAGAGACATACCAGGTTGAGCATCACTTTACACAGGAGGATGTACTTGAGTGCACCAAGCGCTGACGGACCGTCTTGGGAACTTAGGTTCTCAAACGTCTCGTAAAAGTAAGAATAAGCCATTGTGTAATCTTTGTCCTCCGCATGTAGAATTCCTGACTGTAAGTCCAGGGCCGCTTGAAGTTGGGGTGGGCAGTATATCGAGATAGCGGCAGTGCGTGCAGAGGTTAGCGACGACTGTGAAGATTGACCCTTGAGTCATGTGAGATTGAGAAGTTGGGAAGGGAAGTACACACTTTGGCTTTGGCGAGGTTGCCAATCCCGCGATAGACGCGTGATTCCAGGAGATGGACCTCTGCGAGGATCATGTTGTCATCTAACCTCTAACAGAGTCTCAATTAGTACAAGGGCAGGTTTGTATTGCTAAGTCTCCAATTGTCTTTCGACAGCGATCGCACTGGGCGGATCGCCACTGCAGGAGCGGCAAATGCTGGACGTACAAGCTAATGGGCTGGGGTTTCTAGACTTTACTTCAGAAATAGGCGCTTTTCGCGCTTTGCCCAGTCAATGTTGTCATTGGGGACAGCAATCCGGGTTTGCTGACTATTGGGGATGCCATTGAACAGTGAAAGTAGATTGCGAACTAGATAGAGAGGGAGAGTCAGTATTTCAAATCTATCAGCCACTTGGACATGCAGCACTGGGTTTAGCAGTCTTCGCCTTGGCTGTAGAGGATGGGAATGAGCGCGACAATGTGACAACACAACTGACAACCATGTACAGTACAAGCAGCATCTCCCTGAATGGCAAAAATTGTGGACGAAGTGGGGTTTGAACCCACGACCTCATGCAAACTGGCTCATGTCTGATAGACATGAACTTGCGAAGCAAGCGCGCTACCACTGTGCCATCCGCCCATACATAACCTAATTTTCTCGCCGTATCATATAGGTACAGGCTGCTCTGGACTACTGGTGACTGATTGTCGTCAATTTCTGCTTTCCGCAACCTTCGTGTCCACATGCCTGTGATACATACCCCGACTTACGGGCGGCTGCAATGCCCCATCCCCCGAGACAACAAGCTGAGGACCGGGATGTAAGAGTGGTCCTCGTTCATCAGTGGTTCGAACGAGATACAGATATCTGAAATCAGGACATTCTGATGGTTGAGACTACGGAGGCCTGAGGTATTTATGAAGTTGAGGAATCAATAATTGACCTAATCACTGGCTCGACTTTGCGACTAAGGCCAGAGCTAGACGAGTGAGGTATCTTTACTGTATATAATTAGGGCATCTTGCACAGTGGAACGTGTCGGCAAAGTCCGGCACTGGCCTAAACAGTATCCTCCTCTCCGGTATCTCTCCTGCCACACCACGACTGTGACGTGGCCATGAACAATTTCGATGATGTGCTTCGCCATATTTTTTTCCATCGATCTCCCTCTATGATGATACACATCCTTTCCAGACCATCACTTTTCAGTATACTCTGTTCCATAGCATCAATCTTCGCACTCGTTCTCGTCAGGAGCCTCACTCGTAAAGCTAATCAATCTGTCAAGCTGCCGGAACTTTCGGCCCTTCGGATGATCATGACACCTACTTCTTCCTGTTGGGCTCCTTCTACTCGCAAGGTAGTGACGCGCTCTCAGGTCTCGTCTCAAAAAACTATGTGGCTCTCATTGGATGTCCTGGTTCACTGCATCGCATCCGGAGACCTTGAGTTCCGTTGTCCATCGCATGATCTCCCCAACCTCTTGCATTCTAGCATACTTGTTAATGGCTGGGATATCCGCTTGTGTGTCCATTTTACTCACCGGGTCTATGCTGTACTGTGGTTCATCCTTGCAAGATTCGATGTAAGTTGCATGAGGGTACCTTGCGGCTCCTGCTAACTCTCCGCAAAGCCCGGGTTGCCATTAGGTAGTTATACGCGCATGAATTCTTATAAACAAGGCTATACTCCTTAACAGTTAATGCGCAATCTGTGTGCGGTCCGAATCTCTATCTCGTTGATCTTGACCTGGTACCTTGCTGGAAGCTAAAGCAGCTGGTCCGCCAGCTCGCGTCCTCACTCCCGCAGGGCGTCACTACCTCCCTTCTACTGACAACAAAGGCGCAGGGGCTGTCCATGTTTGGTTCCCGCTTTGCAATTGCGGCGCATTTCTTCCAACCTCCCAGAACAACATTACCATTCACCACTTCCCTTTCGACAGTTTTGGCCTTACTCGGCACGCATGGAGATAGCTTCTCAATTCATAGCGTTGACAATATTTCTATGCAATTTGCTGAGATACTATTCGGGGCTGCCAATACTCTCAGCAACGACCCCGATACTCGTGCGGAATATATTGCACGGAACAGTCTAGTAGGATGGCGTAAGGAGTGTTTACGTGGCATTTGGGAGGGGGCACTCCTGAAGGCAGGGTTGCTGGTAAAATGGAAGATAACTCTTAAAATGAATTAGTGGGCGTGTACTACTACTACAGTACTTTAATAGATGACTGGGCTAGGACAGCAATTTGTGACGGAGATTGACCTCTTTCGGTCAACGTGAGTGACTCCACCGCGACGACCGCGCCGCGAGGCCACACCCGCGCGCTTGTCAACACAAACAGTTCTCGTCATTGTCCACCGTCGGCCACGGCCACGATGTCCTCCCCACCAAGTAGTCGACGCCTCACTGGCCGTTCTTTGTCTGCATCACGGTCTATAACTCAGTCCATTTACGCACCCACAGCCAGTTCTCGCCCCTTCCTCAACCTGCTCAACCCACTGGGCCGCGCATACCAGGGCTACACAGCCGCCAACCAGTTCGTTCTCGAGGAGGACGAAGAGGACACCGATGGCGCTGCGTCCCCTAGAAACGAAGATATCGACCTAGAGGCGCAAGCCCGCCCCACCTCAACAGCGAAGGCCTCTCACGCGGATTCTATTTCCATGTCGCGTGTCTCCCGGGGTGGCGCCGAGAATGCTGTGCTCAGACCCAACGTTCGCGAGGACGACCGCATCCAAGAGGAGTCAGAGTCCGACGGCGAGGTCCCGCAGAGCTTCTTGATCGAGTCTCCCGCTGCGCGCCGCGCGCCACTCTCGCGCAAGATCCGCGCACGCGACACCCGCCTCGCATCGAACCCCACTACACCCGCCGACCCTCCTCGGATATCTGTACCTCCGCGCCCCTCGGAGATTAACGTGGAGCATCCTCTCGCTCGACCCTCGCTCGCGTCCGCGCAGCCCAGTCCGAAACGCGGCCTAGATGCGTACGAGCGTGCGCTGTGGAATTGGGTGAACGTGTACAACCTCGACGCCTTTCTCCAGGAGGTGTACCTGTACTACCACGGGAAGGGGATATACTCCATTGCGCTCAAGCGGGGGCTGAACCTTCTGTACGTGTCCCTTCGCGCATCGGAGAGGTGCGCTAATACCTAGCCCAGCACAGTCGGGTTTGTCATCGGCTTCTCGACATTCCTCCTTCGCTGCGTGGATTACTCGCGCATCCATCCTGACCAGGTCACACGACTATCAGATATCGTTGTAGAACGCTGCGTCTCCCGGTACGTTCTCCCCTGTCTGTCTTGGCCTATCACATTTCTCACCAACTTTTGCAGGTTCTCAGGGTTCACGCTACTCTGCTTTCTCCTCTTTTGCGCATTCTACGTCTGGCAGATCGCGGTGTTTGTTCTGAGCATCATGCGGCTGGTGGACATGTACCGGTTTTATACCTACCTCCTTCAAATACCCGACGTGCGCCTTCCATCCATATGCTGCTGCTTATTGCGCAAACATTTCCCTAGGAAGATATCCAGACCATCTCCTGGCCCGAAGTCGTTCGACGCATCGGAGCCATCCGGGACTCGAATCCACTCACAGAACTCTCCTCATCCTCTTCCCGCCCCCGCGCGAGCGAGGGCGCGAGACTAGACGCGCACGACGTCGCTAATCGTATCATGCGGCAAGAGAACTTCCTTATCGCACTGTTTAACAAAGAGCTCCTTGACTTACGTGTGCCACTCCCACGCGGGTGGCCCACGGAGGAGGGCAAGGGCCGCACACTCACGCGTGCCCTTGAATGGAATCTGCAATTTTGTCTGATGGAGTACCTGTTTGACAGAAGGGGTCAGGTGAGGAAGGTGTTTCTCAAGAGCAAGAATCGGGCAGCATTAATTGACGGGTGCGTAAAGTGCAAATGGCAATTTGGCTGCTGTGGCTGACGCAGGTCTATAGGTTGAGACGACGCTTCATCTTTATGGGTATCTTAAACGCTATTTTCGCGCCCTTCATCGTGGTGTACTTGCTCATGTATTCGTTCTTCCGGTATTTCGAGGTACGTATTTCTGCCCTCGTTGTGGGGTAGTCCTCACCGCCAAAGCAGGAGTCGTACAAGAATCCGTCTTCAATCAGCGGACGCGCATACACCCCTTTTGCTCAGTGGAAGTTCCGGGAATTCAACGAACTCCCGCATCTTTTTGAGCGACGTCTCAAGGAATCATATCCCATCGCGAACATGTACATGAACCAATTCCCCAACGAAAAGCTGGCAATCATCATGAGGTTGGCCCTTGTTATAATCCTCGATACGATACGTTGGTTGACGGAATCTTCAGATTTGCGGCATTCGTAGCTGGCTCCTTTGCTGCTGTCCTTCTTCTCGCCACCGTTATTGACCCTGATCTTTTCATTCACCTCGAGATCACCCCTCATCGCTCTGTCTTCTTCTATCTTTCCGTCTTTGGTGGTATCCTTGCGGTTGCGCGTGGCATGATTCCCGAAAAGAATAAGGTGTTCGATTCGGAAGTGCTCATGAGGGCACTCGTCCAGTACACACACTACCTTCCGGACGAGTGGCGGGCGCAGTTGCACTCCAAGGCTGTGCACATGCAATTCGGCGAGCTTTTTGCAATGAAGGCGGTCACGTTCGCGACGGAGCTCGCCAGCGTCGTGCTGACGCCGTTCATCCTCTGGTTTGCTCTGCCTCCGTGTGCGCCGGCCATCGTCGACTTTTTCCGCGAGTTTACCGTACACGTCGATGGGCTTGGATACGTGTGTAGTTTCGCTGTGTTTGATTTCCAGCGACATGGCAACGTCAAGGTCCGCATTTTCTCTTTTTACCAACCCTCTCTGATCCCCGTGCTGATCTCCCGTAAACAAGTTTGGCGCGCCGACAAAGGTGTCCGACGCGCGGCTGATGTCTAACGACGGGAAGATGGAAAAGTCCTTCGTCTCGTTCAAAGCCGCGCACCCAGATTGGATGCCCGCAGACCCGTCCGGATCGCTGTACCTCTCACGCATCGCAGACCTCTCCGCGCGGCGCACCATAGACAACGAAACGCCCCGCCCAAACGTCAGCATCCCCACGGACCGCACGTGGGAGTACGAGCGCGCGCTGCACGAGTCGCAGACCGCGGCCGTGCGGCGGCGTACCGGGGGCGTCGGCGTTGGGTTCGGCGCGACGTCGACGATGCTCGGGCAGTCTACGGGGACGGTGTACCAGTCCGGGATGGCGCAGAGCGTCGCGTTGGGCGATTCGGACGGGTCCATCGCACTCGCCGCGCTGCAGCCTCCGCATAAGGCTTCCGGCGCGACGACAGCAGCCCCGATCCCGAGCGGCAGCGGTGAGCTCGCGGCGGATTCGGAGGGAGAGGTGCGCAGCGCGCTCGGTGAGGCTTATGTCGACGGCGCACGGCGGCATCACTCGCGTGGCGTGAGTGCACGGTCGATGCAGGAGGAGGAAGAGGAGGAGGACGGGCCCGGTGCGGATGGGGGCGTGCTTGGGCTGTTGGCACAGATATATAGCGGGACGGCTGGTGGGGGCACGCGTGGCGTGCTCTCATGAGAGTCGAGAGGCATATGTTTTTTTTTTGAATGTTTTCGTTTTCTGTTCTTTGTCAACAAGTGGCTTCTTCGCGGAGTGAT